TCAGAGCCCACAGGGGGTGAGCGGTATACAAATGGAATGTAATAATAATAATAATAATAATAATATAATACCCAGCTTCTATGACCCCAAACGTGGCCTTGGATAAACATACTCTGTTCTAAAGATGTTTCTGACAATGTGACAGGACTCTAACCAAGGTTGCAATGAAGGAGAAGGCAGTAGAATAATCAAGAAAGTTTATTGAAAGGAAACAAAATGGAAGGAAGCAGAGTAATATCTGACTACCTTATAGTATCAAAATACTATAGAGTCCCAAAATATCTCCCAGCACCTACGCAATATGCATCCACACTGTGCAGCATGCATCTCAAAGAATATCAGGTTAAAGAGGGAGAGAGAAAAACAGCAAGGCAAGAGGAGGGGAGATCCCTATCCTTTTCTCGATTGTCATTGTGAAAATATGGTTCACTACTGGCTTTCTCCTAGCCAATCTAACCTCCTTTGTCTTGTATATACCCCTTCTGACTGAAGCTCACTTAATTCTTTAGTGAACAATTATTTAGACAACAGCAGGGAAAATTGTCTAAGATGGCTGGACAGGTGCTACTGGTCATGGACCGAAGAGTGGTCAAGACTGGTGCAAAAAAACCCAAAGACAACAAGAGGACAGTTTTCAAGAGATGTCTGATAAGATAAGGGCACCAACTCAATGCTGAAATTTTGATTCACATTGATTCACACAGGAAAAGGACACAGAAAACTTCAGTGGGATAAACATGGCAGCAGGACTGTGTTCAGAGGCTTCCAGAGCTTATTTTTTGCTTCTCAAATCTCTAAGAAAAGCATACTGGCTAAGCGTTCCGGCGGTGCGGCGCGGCGCCACGGTGTGTTTCTCGGGAGCTCCTGAGAAATGCCCGACTCTTGAATGCTCTTTTGGGTGCCTCCCCCCACCTTCAGGGGGGTAGGTCCCGCTTGGGGCTCCTGGAGGGAGACCAAGGTATGAGGCTTGGCTGCCCCCCCGCTCCCTGGCAAGGACGGGGGTGTGACCGGCATGCCTCACAAGCGGGAGCGTCACGAAGAATGGGAACTGGTTTCCCGCCACAGCAGCAGCCAGCCGTGTTTTTAAATGTGCACGGTGAATTGGGTTTTGTCTCTTTCATATGGGTTTTGTGTCTGAATAAGGATCACTTCTCTGCACCACATTGAAGGATGGGACTAACGAGCAAGACCGTTTTAAAAGAAGAGTTCTTTACCCCCCCGTTATGGACTTCCCTCTTGATTTAGAAAGGCGGCCGAGAATATTTACGGAATTGAAGACTGAACCGATTTAGAGGGGGTAAGAGACTAACTTTATTTGCAATTTCACCCTTTAGGCTTTGGTATATTTGTAAGTTGATATTTGCTACAAAGACGGATAAAGTTAAGTGGATAACAAAATGGCGGTGGCGTTAATTTCTGAGGCCGTAATAAATGAACTAAAATCCGAACACTTTCGTATGAGTCTAAGAGCTGAGCTCGATAAAACGCTGCAACAGGTATGGGAAAGATTGCTAGGTGAATCTCAGTGCTTATATGTAGTAGCCGGAGACAATAAAGGGCAATCATGGGAATCGGAAGAACCGCAGATATGTATTTCGGCGGAAGAGAAACAGCAACTGAAATAGGATAGCCAGCACCTGACAACAGAAAAGGAAACAAGAGAAGTTGACTCTCTAAAGGATATGCCTCATACGAGAAATAAGCCAAGAATAAAGAGAAGGAAAAAAAGGTGGGTCAGGCTCCTTTGGAAAAATAAGAGACTATTAAACAGGTCCAGAACAAAGCAAGATGCAAGGAAGGTGGAAGACTTTAAGCAAGTTAAGGAGGACTTAAAAATATAAAAGAGACTCTTTGGGAGCTCCCTTAAAGGAATACAAACATCTGAGACATGTACAAGAAAATGAGGAGAACGAACTTAAAAAGGAAGAGAAGTGGAAGTCTTTGAGCAGAAGGATCTTCTTGAAAATGGCCCCCTTTTGAGAGAGCTGTATGTGGGAATATCTAATTGTGTTTAAGTGCAGGCTGATGTAACAGGATAGGAAAGAACTGATGGAATGTACTGGATGGTATCTTGGATTTCTATGCTTTCTAAGTTTATGAAATGTGGAAATATATATGGACAAAAATTTGTAGACTGATGTAATAGGATGTAATAGAACGGAAATAATTGATGAAATGTAACTGAGGGCAAGAGGGACTTTTGTGTTTTTTGCGAGAAAAGTGGTGCTTATTTTTTGTTTTTAAAAATATCTAAAATATATAGGCGGAACGATGATAATGAATGAAATTTGGAGGTGTGAAATTTTCCCTTTTATGTTCTCTTTTGAGATATTTAGCCAAGTGGAAATAAGGTTAATGATGACTTTTGGTCTGATGAAGAGGTGAACATTTTGGAGAACCAGTATTATAATTTTGAAATCCTTGAAATGGGAAAATATTTATGGATAAATAATTGTAGGTTGATTTAACAGGATGTAATAGAATGAAAATAATTGTGGAAATGTTGCTGAGGGTAACGCTGATTTTTGTGTTCTGCTGGGAAAGTGGTGGCTACTTATCTAAAATGTCTATAATATATAAACTGAGAGTTGATTATGAATGAAATTTTTACTCTCTTTTTTGAGATACTTAGCCAAGGGGAAGAACAAGGATAAAGATGAATTTCGGTTTGTTGAAGAGGTGAATATTTTGGTGGATTAGTATTATAATTTTGATGGTGAGTGGGCATAAGTAGTTTGGAAGATTAACTAGTTGATGAGAAATTTAGATTAAGAGATAATTAATTATAATGTAAGCAGGTTGAGAATATGTACATTTTGGGCTATAGAAACAATGTGGCTCAGAGGAATATTAGCAGCGATTATGGGTGGAAGGGGTGGTGGGATGAGGTTGTATGTATATGTTTATATGTCTATCTAGATGTTGTCTTTGTTTACATAGATGTTTGTTGTTGTTTGTTGTGGAAAACCAATAAAAATTATAATAAAAAAAAGAAAGAAAAGCATACTGAATCTGGTTATGTTTTAATTAATATACTGCAATCTATGCAGAGACTTTCAGAACTCTAAAGCACCATGTTGAAAATCAGAAGAACCCAACTATATAAATTATCACTGTTGCCCCCCCCCCGTACCAAGAATACAGTGCAGAGTTCCTATCTGTACCGTGTGGTTAATAGCCACTGAGGGACCTCTGCTCCATATGTTTATCTAATTCCCTCTTGAAGCTGTCCATGTTTGTAGCCACCACCACCACCTGTGGCAATGAATTCCATGTCTTAATCACTCTTTCGGAGAAGAAGTACTTCCTTTTATCCGTTCTAACCCGACTGCTCAGCAATTTCATTGAGTGCCCACGAGTTCTTGTATTGTGAGAAAGGGAGAAAAGTACTTCTGTCTCTACCTGCTCTATCCCATGCATAATCTTATAAACCTTGATCATGTCACCCCTCAGCTGTCGTTTCTCCAAGCTAAAGTGCCCCAAGCGTTTTAACCTTTCTTCATATGGAAAGTGCTCCAACCCTTCTATCATTCTAGCTGCCCTTCTCTGCACTTTTTCCAGGGCTATAATATCCTTTTTGAGGTGTGGTGACCAGAACTGTACACAGTACTCCAAATGAGGTCGCACTATTGATTTATACAGGGGCATTATGATACTGGCTGATTTGTTTTCGATTCCCTTCCTAATAATCCCCAGCATAGCTGCCTAGACATTTTCATTGAATTATCTACTACGACTCCAAGATCTCTCTCCTGATCAGTCTCTGCCAGTTCGGACCCCATCAATGTGTATTTATATTTAGGATTTTTGGCTCCAATTTGCATCACTTTGCACTTGGCCACATTGAATCCCATTTGCCATGTTGACGCCCCCTCGCCCATCCTTGACAGATCCCTTTGGAGTGCCTCACAATCCTCCTTGGTTTTCACCACCCTAAACAACTTCGTGTCATCTGCAAATTTAGCCACTTCATTGCTTACTCCCAACTCCAAATCATTGATGAACAAGTTAAAAAGCATTGGACCCAGTATTGATCCCTCCAGTACCCCACTGCTTACCACCCTCCACTGAGAAAAGTTCCCATTTGTACTCACTCTCTGTTTCCTATTAATTAGCCAGTTTTTGATCCACAAGAGGACTTATCCTTTTATCCTGTGACTATTGAGCTTACTTACTTATCCCGTGACTATTGAGCTTACTTGAGCTTACTTCCCTTCACTTGGGAAACCAAAGAGGAACCCTATTAGAAATCTTACCTGATTGGGTCTATAAGGGAAGCCTCCAAACGGCCCTCTCCAAAAAACTGATTCTCCTTGTTTCCAGGATTTTACATATTGTGACATTAGTCCTCCTTCATAGCACTTTGAAAACAAACCACACACAAAAATAATTTTACAGGGAGAAAAAACTTTAGCTTAATGTCTACTTTTCTCAGAGCAAAACAAGTCAGAATCCATTCTCTGTGCTTTTTAAATCTTGGAAAAAATATAACATTATAGCACAAAGAAAGCTAAATTATTTCGAATATAAAGTTAACAAAATCTACTGTTTCTTTACCTCAGTTCATTATAATATATGCAAGAAAAGTACTGCCTACTGTACTGTGACTGAGCTGATAAACCAGCTATACCACCCAGGCTAGTGTGAGAAGCAAACCACCCTGGCATTTTAGTGGCATGCAACACCACTGAATGCAAGTGTTCATGAATTGTGGCACTCCATTATTGAATATGAAGCAAGTAAGCATTCTGAGAAGTGAAATGCAAATGCACACTGCTCCATCCTGCCCAGAATTTCAAGAAGTCACCTTTCATCTACAATTTTGGAGCAGAGATGGCTCAAGATAAGACAGTGTGTTACCTAAAAACAAGCAAAACAATAAAAGCTCACAAACTTCCTTGGTAAAAATGATACTTAAAGGTTTTTGTGTATGAAGCAACAAATCTAGAAATGAAGTGAGATATCCATAGCTAAAACTGCTATATTGGCTGTGCCGCTGTGACTTTGGACTAACACACTGAGTTGGCTGCAAGCGCCCACAAACAGCAAGTTTGCACAAATGGATCTTTCCTGACTTCTTCTTACCTATCAGCAGCGCCGGATTGCTCACTAGGTGGACTAGGAATTTGCCTAGAGCACGCTGGCCCTTAGGGGTGCCAAACTGCACCCAGCCCCCCCGCCAAAAGCCCCCCGCCCCTGCCAAAAGCCCTGCATCTCTCTGACCCTTGGAGACTGCCTCTGTGGAGCGACCCTGCGGGGCTTCCCGGGTGGCCTCCCTCTCCTCCCTGTCTTCTTAACCTGGGCCGAGCCTGCTGGGCTCCGGAGCTCGGCCCAACCAGCCCGCGAACGGAGGCCCCGAGGCGCCGGCGGGGAGCACATGCCCACCTCCGCCCCTCCCCTCCCCGCCTGGTCTTGGCGTGGCAGCACAGGATGGAGCCGGCAGAACTGCAGGCCATTCTGCGCCTCCTGGCAGGCCTGCGGGTGCCCTGCATGGCCCTCCTCTGCTCCCTCAATGGCCTCCTCTTGCTGCGCCGCCAGAGCCCCGGCTGGCGGCAGTGGCCTTGGCCGGGGAAATCCCCCCCCGGGAGTGGGAGGAGCAGCAGCCTCCGATGCTGCCCTGGCAAGTAGTGGTCTCAGGCGGTGGGCTGGGGACGGGGCAGCTGCAGTAGCAGGTGGTTCCGTGGGCCATTCCCGACCCCAGCCCTGCCTCTGTGGCCGGGGGCCGAGGGTCAGGCCGGCTCAGGGACTTGCTGCCTCCGGCACCTCCTCTGCCTCCAGCAACCTGGAGAAGTGGCCCATGTTGGTGCCCCCCAATTTGCCCGCCTGCTCATGGGCCGCCCAGGTGAGTGAGGGGGAGAGGGAGGGCGGCGTGGTGTGGCTCCTCCTCCTGCTCGCCCACTTGGACCCCACCGAGCGCTCTCCAATGGCCGCTCCTCTCGTCATAGTCATGTCTGAGAGGAGCCTTGCTTGCCAGCCCACCGCCTGACGTATGAAGCCGCCTTTTATGATTGGGGTGGGGTAGTGCCCGGTTAGCAGCCCGGCTACAGAGACTTTTAATAACTGGGAAAAGAGGGAGGGCTGTCCACAGAGACCTGTCCCCCGTCTGCGAATCTAGCGCTACTTGGCTTGCAGCTTGGCAGCAGCCATTCACTGGCTAATCCCGTGCGGGCAGCGCTCGTGAGTCCTCTCGCCCATTGAGCTGCCTGCGATGCAGTCGCCTGAGTCTCTCTCAGAGACGAAGTGCAGCGCCTGCCTCGGGGTCACGATGGGCTCCCTTGAGTGGCGCCTTTTGCTCCTGGGGGCAATCCTCTTCCAGCTGTTGGGGCGTAGCGCCGGTGAGTGAGTGCCTCTGGCGGCTAAGTCCCCCCCCTGTGTGTGGGAGCAGAATTTGTACCGAGATCCCTGCTTCTGCGTATGTGTGTGTCTGCGGGGGATTCCCTTGGCATGCAAAAAAGAGGGGCTGTTGCTGATTTGGGGAGCCAGCCGGGAGAAGTTGGTTCCCGGCCCCTTCCCATCACAGAAGCCAGTTTGGTCCCGGAAAGCGTCTGCTGTTGTCTTCATCAATGCTCCCTGTAAGCTGTGGAGTCTTGTGAGCAAAAATTCTCTCTTTGCAATGCCCCCGGGGGGGGGGAGATGTGCCAGAACGTTGCTGCCCCCCTGGGAGCAGCCGGCAACTCCACATGACCCCCCCATGGGCTTTGCCCCCCCTGCCTGAACTCCCACCAGCACAGGTGGCCCCATGGGCAGGCCGGTTACTGCAGCCCTGCCTGGAGGTTGGCAACCCTGTAATTGGTGGGTGCACGGTGGGGTGGAGTGGGGTGGCGCCAGAAGGTAGCCTCGCCTAGGGTACAAAAAAACCTGGAGCCGGCCCTGCCTATCAGCTCCCTGTGCCACCCTTCAGAAGCTACTGCTGAGGCCTGTGAGGGTATCCAGAACAATATCTCATGAAACATGGTGCACATGTGTACATACAAACTGCAAGAAGGGGAAAACAGGATGAAAAAATAGCTTTGCACAGGTGTGAAGGGGCAATTCTGGCTAACTGTGCTGCAGCTCCTTCCCTTGTGCTACATGGCATGTCGCTGTGCAAAGCCTTGCAGCCCTCAGCAATAACTCGGCAGTGGAGGAAGATTTGTGGAGGGCTTCCAGGATGCTCATTTCATTCACAGCAACAACGGTCTGAGTGCTCCTGCCTAGTAAAAGCTTCCTCTGCTAAAACTCTGCCATGCCAGGCTGTTTGTAAAGGCAAAGGAAGAGAGTCAGTTTAAAAACAAAGTTGGCAACTGTGGCCACAACATGGAACAGGCAGACAGTAATATTAAAGAAAGGGTGTGGAGAGGTTAAGATCTCTATCATTATGTTTCCAGAAAGATAGTGGGATATTGGTTTCAGTGGAGACAATGTATTTGGAACTGAATCTCCTTTAGGTTTCTTCTTTGTTCTAATGGAGCAATGACCAAACTGGTTTATAATGAATTCTTGTAAATAGAAGAGAAGGAGAAACTCCTGGAGTGAAAACCTTTATGCTGGGATTTACACCAAAAAACACCATAACATTATAGAATCACTCAAAGGGAGGGTTAAGCACAGAAAATCGCCACTCACTTGCTCTTAACTGTAGTATCACAAATGCAGTGCCATAATCATGGGACACAGGGGTGTCTGAACAGCACTTGGATTGCATAGTAATAATAATAATATAGTGCTTCCAAAAATTGCCTGAATAGTGAGAAATACACTACAATCTACAGAGCAGGTTATACAAATGGGTGCTTTACGATGGGTGTTCCATCTCTTTTGTTACTGCCAGAGAATAACTATGGTTCCCTTTGGGATGAAAGGTTCTATATAAAGGGAAGGTGTTATTACAATCATTACTACTATTATTGAAATGCAAAACTTGTGTGTAATAAGCAAGTATATATAAAATTTCACAGCCAACCTATAAAGGTATCCTATTAATGCAGCTCAAATGTAGCATTTCCCCCCTCCAATTGCCACAATAATGGTGAAATGATCCACCCACAAGTGTCTTATAAAAGCTATACACACCTCAAAAGGAATATAATTCACACTCAACCTATCACACAATCAATGATAAAACCCTAAAAAGTACAAACTCCTGGAGGGCAAGCAGAGTGTAAAATGATCGTTCTTGGTGACCTCCCTGGAAGATCTAGGGTTTTAGGTTGCAGAGTTACAGTGATATCTGTCTACCCCTGAGAAGACAAATGCAGATTAAAAACATTTTCATATTCCTAGACACAATTATTTATATCTGAACATATCTGAATTTATCCTTAAATTGAGATGTAACCAATGTTCCTACTGAATATCAAGGCATGTGGATCAATAAAATCACAAAATCCAGAGTAATTACATGGGGAAATAATTGTGTTTACTCAGGAGTAATTGCCTTATAGCCTGAGAATGGCATTGATCCTAAAAAGAGTCTTATTAGGCAAACTGGCTTGCAGGTGCCTACCTGATGTAGCATACATCTGGCAACACAGCCTGTGAGATAATATTTCTAACCAGTTATTATGTCTATTTATGCCAGCATAGAAGGTGTTCCAAATGCCTGTACGGGGATGCACAGATCAATCATCCTTATCCCAGGACACTCCCCATCTCTGATGTATAAATGGAAGGCAGCATCACTGAGTAGGGGGGGAAATGAAAAAGAGAAGGAACACCTTAGTGGGGGCTAGGGAAGTTTATAAAGTCGAAGCCCAGTGTGTTCCAGGTAGAAACCTTTCTCCAAGATCAACTCAGCATTCAATTCTGTAACAACATAATATGCTGTTATCTTGAGCTGGGGGTGGCTGATCTGCACAAATTGCATTGGACTTGCCAAGCCAAATCTTTGACTGCAGGCCTCTAGTTATTAAAGTACAAAGTGAAGCTCTCTGCTGGCATAAAAGATGACATGGGTCCTACGTCAAGCTGTTAATCGATAGAACAAAGGCAGCTATTTACCTTTATTAAAACATCAAAGTATCCTTCAGCGTTCACAGGAGTAATTGGAGTATAGGCTCTTTGAATCTCCAAACCATTTACTAGTCCTCTGAGGAAGAAAAAAAGAAAAGACAGAGGGAGGGAATCCTGATCTGAATCCCTGACAATCCCCATCAGCTGAGCACTCCTCTCTTGTGCAAAGGCTGCTGCCTGAAAAACACTGTAGGCATCCTTCCTTCTTCCCCATGGGCTGCCCTTTGCCAACCAGACAATAGATCAGTCCCTCCCATTTTGCAGTCAAACTGCAGAGATCCAAGGCACTGAAATAACCTCTGATTTCTCTCTTTCACAGCTATACCACCCTCCTTAACAATCCTTTCCCCTTCCTGGATAAGCTGCACAGCCAACCCAGCTTTTTTATGTGGTATAGCTGAGTTTCTGGCCAAGTAAGGCAAATAAGGAGCTATGCTAGAGCAGGAGGATTATGAACTGTTTGCAGCAAAAAGAGGCTTTCTCAATCAGCAATAATTAATGGGCATACCTGTTCTGTTCAACTATGACGTTTACTGGGAGGCCTTGGGAAAATCCTGTCACCCTAACTTATTGGATAGGCTTTTGGGGAGGCTAATGTGGCTCTGGGCTCCAAGGGTGGGACACAGATATAATAACTGTGTACATTACAAGAGAGGCAACTCTGAATTGCAAAATGCATAACTGCCTCAGGGGAAAAAAGTTAATATATTGTCCCTGTGAGTCAGTTCATGATGATCAATGTAAAATGCATTTCGTTTTCCCTTTTTTCCTTTCTGTAAATTGGTTTCTTACCTGCACTTAATTTTTATACCTCCAACACAAAACTAAGATTGAAGGAAAATGCAACTATAGGGTAGCATACACCATAAAATTAGCAGGGTTAATAAGCTCACGAGCTCTTTCAATACAATCAATTTGGAAGCACAGAAATGATGATTTACTTGGTATGAAATCTTTGTAGATCAACAAAAAATTGCAAGTTAAATCGCATACTGTGACCTGTTTAACTAGAGACTTTTCACAGTACCTTAGCACAATATGTTGTCCCAAACTCAACCCCAAGCTGCTATTTCCAGGCAATTCAAATTTATACTGGTAGGTGTCCTCTGTCAGCTGATCCACAGAGCTTATGGTGAAAGCTGTAAACATTTCTGGAGCCAGTTCTGAATTCTTGTTCTACAAGGGGAACAATAAGTAATTACTGGGTTAAAAGGCACCCCCCCACACACAACCAAAATGTGAGTGAATTCAGCATTGGTGAAATGTGGTACTACAAAAAGAAAAAGCTTTGAAGATTCAATACATTAGGTCTTAAGTCAGTAAGTAATTCTTTGTGAAATCTCATTTAAATCTTAGGTCCTGTTTGTGTTTACAGAACTATGGCTTTGACAATACCTTTTCTGATAATTATTTTGGAGTGTGAGAAATTAAAGGTCTGTCCCCATGAAATAAGTGATGGCACTCTTTAGGTATACGAATTCCAAGCAAGAGGTAATGGAAGGCAAGAGAGGAGCTCATTTCTGCTTATTTTAAGGAGCTGGCATTCTTTTTCATCTGCAATCTTTTACAAGCAATTTCTCACTTCCTCCCACTAGAGTTACTTCTTCCTCCCCCCAGATCTCCTATGCTTTTAATAGTTGTACAATCACAAAATTTACACTGGTGAAGCTAGACCGGGCATGAAGAGGCAATGAAGTGAAATGCGTACTTCTTTTTGACTACCATGCTGTGTTAATGAAACAGATACCCTACCTGAAAAGCAGGTGTCAACCCTATTTTCTAACATTCCAAAATCTGATCGTGATATGGTCTTCAGATCTATACTGCATATCAGAGTTCAGACTCATAACATGTGAATTATAAAGAGAAATGCACATCCAGAGTACCTTTTGCTTACTATTAATCATAATCAGCTCCTCTCGTACTAAAGAATAAGAAACATAGCTTCCCTAATTTCAAATAAAATGCCTTGAGCTTGCTATCTTCACTTTTATCTCTCTCATTTTTGATTCAAAACATACTTTCCTCTTCTGTGAGAAACTCCACCATCCTTCTGAGATATTTTTGTATGTGAGCAACAACCTGCATTTAACAGATTTGCACTTGCTCTCCAACTGAGAGGTCCAACTGAAGTTTACAAAGGCAAGGAGAGAGTATGGGATAGAATAATATTCTGGAAATGTGGCAATAGTCTTCACTGTGAGGGATACCTAAATAGAATATGGTTCCCTAGTGCAAATTTCTGGAATGGTTTAAAGTGTAATGGTACCTCAATATTCTATTACTCATTATTTCAGTAAAAAAATTATCACTGGTTCATTGAACCTGCTAGCAAATTAAAATAACAAACATTCAAGAGATAGAAAATTGTTCTCAAATAGTCCTTTGGCAACAAGAGATACAAGAAATGGAGGCTGGAGAGATACCACTCTGAACTGTTATTAAGTCTGATGGGGGGGGGGGTCAGGACACACAGGCACCTTGATTCTCTCTGCTTGTTTTCTCCACCAGAGCTCAGAACACCTCAGGATGGATGGTTTTTGCTGGGGAAAAGATGTTTGAGATGAAACAGTTAACTACTCTTCTCTGCACTGTGGCCTTGATACAATTGTTCCTCCCCTTCTCTGCGGTTGCTTTTCAGCATTAAAAATGTGTGTGTGTGTGGGGGGGGATCTGATTACCCTAACTGGTTAACAGTGATTGTTTTATCAGTTGACCTAGTAGCCTGACCCTGAAATAAGAACATTTGGAAGCATATTGCTCTATATCATGGGTAGGCAACTTTTTTGGCATAAGCGCTGAAAATAAATGACTTTCCTACTTGTGAAGAAGATGGTGTGCCAGCAGACAAACTTGGGGAGAGCGAGAGATGGGGGCTCTGCTTGGTAAGACACACTCAGAGGAAACCAAGCCCCAGCAGCCTGGCAGGGATCCACTTTGGACTTGGCTGGTGACTGTGTAGGCCTAGGAGCTGATGACCAGGCATAAGCCATGCCTGTAGCCTTCTCCTATAATGCTGGCTCAAGCAGAGCTGCCATTGCCTTGGTTGCTTGAGTGGCAACCTGGCCCCAGGTATGGAGCAAAATGGTCTGGTGTACTACTGTCAACACACATACCAGGGGTTTCCTAACCCTCCTCTAAACGACAAAAGGGCATTTCAGAAAAAAAATTAAGCTGACCACATGTGCTGAAAATTGTTGTTACTTTCCATCCCCTCCTCAAAGGTTAGTGCATGCATTGGCTCATATCACAGTGTGCATGCTTACGACAAACAGTTTCAAGTTGTCTCCTTGCCTCAGCTTCAAAACAACTCCTGAAATGTGGCATCCAAATATAACAAAAGCTGCAAACTGACTTGGATGTAAAACCCACTGAAATGAGTTCCGGATCCACTTCAAGGTGTTGGTAATAATAACCTTTAAAGCCTTACATGGCTTGGGACCAACATATCTGAAGGACCGCCTCTTCCCATATATGCCCCAAAGAGCATTACGCTCTAAGGATCAACACCTCCTGGTAGTCCCTGGCCCAAAAGACGTCCGTCTAGCCTCAACCAGGGCTAGGGCTTTTTCCGCCCTGGCCCCTGCCTGGTGGACCATGCTCCCCATTGAGATCAGGGCCCTGCGGGATTTACTTCAATTCCGCAGGGTCTGCAAGATGGAGCTGTTCCGCCAGGCCTTTGGCTGAGGCAACGGATGTCCATATATGGCCTCCCTGAGGTGGTTGTCACTCAACAACTACTGGCTACTGCCAGGAACCTCCCACAACCAGGGATTTTTTTTGTTTGTTATCAGCTGTGACCACCATTTTAATATTTATGAAGATGTTTTAAATTTTAATGTTATTCTATTAACAAAAAAAATTGTATAAATGATGTTGTTACCCGCCCCAAGCCCACTTCTGGGAAGGGCAGGCTATAAATGTGAAGAAATTAATAAATAAAATATACTTCAAAGTGAACATAACTAGAATCAGGCTGAAAAAATAATTATATTTGCATAGGTTTAAGATGGCTACTTGTGGTTTCCTTCTGGTCAGGAGGCTTCTGTCTCGTTTTGCCTTGGCTTCTTCCCATTGCTCCAGCTCTTTCTGGTACACATCATAGATGCAGGGTGCGCAGCCACTGCCACAACACTGAGATGGCAGTGGTTCTTGGGGCTTGAGTGACAGCCAGTCATCTTCACTGTCATCCATTGTCTACAAAACACAAGCCAACAACATCATGCAGTTTAGAACTCCCTGGACTGAGATAGTCTGCCCTTGCCCTCCTTGAACATGCATTTTAATGTGTTCCGCCTGCAATCCTGACTTGGAAGCAAGCTCCACCGAAGCCATATTTTGAAGTAAACATAATCAGGGTTGAGTTTGTAAACTGCTCCTCCTCAGCAGATTAGTGGATTCACAATTCCCATCTTAAAGTGGTTTCAGAGTGGTACTGGTCAACATCACCTTCAAATTCAACAAACTGTCATTACAAGCTTCTTTTTCCTTTAACCATTGCAAAGTATTCAAATGTTAGTTAATCTATGCACTAGTAATTATATTGTTAATTTTTTTAAAAATATATACATTTGCTGCAGCTCTAGTTCCAGTTGTTCTAGCCGTTAAACCGAACTGGATTGACATGACCACTTAACTCGAAATTACTCCTAACAACCATTTTACTGATCACATCCCCAAGGAAGGAAGAGGGCAGGGGAAAATAAGGGTGCTCTCTGTCTCATGTTTCGGCACATATTTTTCCCCCCTCATAAAGCAAAAGACACTGAAGCAAGGTCAGCATCTTGCTGCAGGAGAAAGAATATGACTTGGCACTTTATAGTAAGAGACTGAACCAGATTCCTCACTGGCAATTGGTAGGAATGAGAAATGGTTGAAAAAACAGTTATTCTAGAGCCCTATGTTACCAGATCAATCTTACTTCAAGGGCATATCTGTGCTACACACTTCAACTTGTCTGAGAGCAAAAATGGTTTGGGAGGACAACTTTAGCCTAAATGACCTTTGATGTAAATAACACTCCCCCTAAAAAAAATTTTTTAAATTGATTTCATAAGACAAAGTTCTGGAAAATAGAACACAACTAGAATCCTAATCAATAGGCCGTGGATTATCTGCAGTCATCTAAGACAGATAGATCCATAAAAGATCTTTTGTGAATTTTATTATGATTGCTTTGTTGTGGTCCTGTGGTTCAAGGATGTTCTCCCACCAGCATTTGTTTAGGTTGGCTAGTGATTCTTTGGTAAACATTTTCCACAGAATCTTCAGACTTTTCAGACCCACTGGGACCCACTTCTTCCCCTTTTCCAACTTGCAACATGAGACTCTCTGTTAAGTTTTTTTTTAAATTAGACATCCACCTTTTCCCCTACCCATCTTATCTTCAACAACAGCAACAACAAAAAGGTGATGGTGCCATTGGTGCAAACAACCCCATCTGTTTATGACAAATGTTAGGCAGGCAGCTTATTTTGCCTGGCTTACTACCTTCTTCATTTAGAACCAGGGATTCTGCAAGCAGAGATCTACTCTCAGTTCTTCTCTGCTTATGACACACAGTGGTTTGGATCACTGAGGTGGTATGGTACTGGGTTCCTTCCAACTTTATCACTCTGTGGCAACAGCATTTGAACAGAACAGCAGTAATGTGGAAGTTATTGCTTTTTCATAGTTGTGGACAATATCCTCAGTATGTTTCAAAAACTGAAATTATATACTTCTGATCAGAGCTGAGTAGGACATTAATTCAGACTCTTAGGCACTGATGAGAAACCTGCTACCACTGAACTTCAATGTCTCACAATTAAGGAAGAATCAGTTTTTACTTGGCAAACATAGCACAAAAATATATTTGTGGCTGCTTTGACAGCTGCCTGAGTACTACAAGAACATACAAGAACATAAGAAGAGCCCTGCTGGATCAGACCAGTGGTCCATCTAGTTCAAATATCTAGGAATGTTTTCAGAAACCCTCCCATGGTGACCTCATTTAACTTCGTTAAAGTCATCCGCCATGAAGACCGTGGGGGCGATAGTGATTTTTTTTCCTCCAAAGGAGGCAGTATGGTTGACCCTGTTATCAAGCTGTTTGGCAGTAAGGTGATTTCTAGTTTACTTTATGATATCAAAATATGGGGTCGGGGGGAGCATATTCTGGATTCATTGGAAATAATACAAAATTAGTTTATGAGACGGATTCTTGGGTTGCCAAAGGTTTCTCCAGAGGCATTAATGAGGGCTGAGCTTGGTATCCCTTCTATGAAAGCAAGCACTAATTTTAGAGCCCTGTCTTATTGGAAGAAAAATCCAGAATATCCTCAGGATTCACTGAGTTGTCAAAGTTTTTGCTCCCTTTTGATACATATTAGGAGCTATAAGGAATATCTGGATTTTGGACGAGAGAAGATGTGTGTGTGAGTTTCTCCTCATGTATTTCTCAACCTAATGCTCTAATAAGGTACTCTAAACATCTCCTCAAGTACCTCCCGGAGAGAGGACCTTGGCAAGGGACGATTACAGCAAACGGTTGAAGGTGGTGACCCTCCCTGCTCTGGCTGTGAGTCCCAAAAGCACGGAGCACTAGGAGCCCTGACGAAGAGATTCGCCGAGCTACAGACAAGCCCACAGAACTGAAAGAAAGAGTCAAGAACGAAATATAAAACCCGAAGCTAAGTATAATTAATACCTTATTGCAATTTAATAAGGGGGGGAAGAAAGGCAAGTTTAAAGAGGAGAAATTAAAACGTAGGGGGAAAAGAAAGGGGGGGGGGAACGCCCGTACTGCTTAGCAAAGAGAAAGAGGTGCCCAGGAGCGGCTAGGAAAGGAAAGTCTTAAAAAAACCAACAGAGGGTGTTAAGGTCAGGAGAAAACGGGCTAGAAAGTAAAACGGAAAAGCTAGGGAAAAAAGAGAAAAAGAAATATCTAATAAGAAAGGGATTTTCTCCATTTATCTCACTTACCTTTTACTGTTCTGTCCCTTTAACGAGCTCCTGATTCAACGCAGCTGGAAGGGGCGGTAGGAGGCAGGACATGAGACGTGTGGAAGGAGGGAGATCGACGCCTGGAGAGAGCGGTGACGTGATCGACGAGAGTTAGAGGAGAGGGGTGGAGACAGAGACGGAGACACAGGAGGCAAGGAGGAGCAACGCTGTAGATCTACGTGGCTTCGTCGGCGAATCCAGGAGAGCAGCGCGATCGAGAGGGGCCAGAGGAGCAACGCCGCGGCTCTGAGTGACTTTGTCGGAGAGCCTGGGACAGTGAAGAGAAGTCTTAAAGAGACAGAGACTTAATACAGTCTTAAAGAGACAGAGACTTAATACACAAACAGACTGTTAGGTTGATAGTAACAGAAATAAGAGATTAAGTGGGGAGGGAAAGGGAGACTTACGACAACAAAGAACTAGACCAAGACACTAATAAACAAAGCAATACACAGTATAAACATATTAAAAACATTAAACAAATACTGGATAAACACCAGACAGACAAAGATATCAGGCAACCATTAAACAGAAATCAGATAATAGAAAATAACCATAATTTATGAAACAGTCTATCTATACATTAAGCTGTTAAACCCATATATATAAACTTGACTAATAGATATCTACAAAACACTAAATCTTTAGACATGGCTTCAGGTGTGAGTGGTACTAGAAAGGGGTCAATACCATCGCCAAACTAGGGATCTGGTCTGGGTCAAATCAAGTCAACAGCACCAGCACCACAATTAAATTTAAAATACTTTAAATCAGTGAGTCAAGAAATGATGCAAAATATATTAGATACGACACTCCCAGCTTTAATAAAAAAAGAAATAGAACCACTGAAAGAAAAAATGGAAGAAATTACTAACCAAATTACAGCGGAAACTACAGAAATTAAAAAAACAAATAAATGAAAATAAGCAAGACATTCTTAAAATAGCAGCAGATAATGAAACAACAAAGGAAAAGGTACAAGAACTAGAATTTGAAATACAAGAAATAAAAATAAAGGAAAATAAGATTGAAGACTCACTAATTGCTCTTGAGATGGATAAAGTGGCCCTGTTGCTTAAATGTCAAAATGTTCCAGAATCAATAGAAAAAAAATTAAAAGAAGAATTAGCACAAAATTTAGCAGAACAATTAGAAATGGCAACAAAGGAAGAAATAGAAAGTGAAATAGAAACAGTATACAGGAGAAACTCTGCATACACCAGAAAACACAACGTACCCCGTGAGGTACACGTAAAATTCTATAAGCGCGAAATGAAAGAAAAGATTCTTAAAGCCTCTTATGATAAAAAAGTTATTATCCAAAATGCAGAAATAAAGTTATTAAGAGAGATACCATGGAGGGTAAGAGAGAGAAGACAGAACTATTATATCTTGACAGATCTACTGAAAGCTAATCAAATTAGCTTTAGATGGCTAGTACCGGAAGGAATATTTTGAAAACGTGAACAAACCTTCCAGATGGCTATCGTATAGACTTAGGAAGGAAAAGGAGAAATGAACTATCATTGCTCTTAAAGATGAAAAAAAATGAAAAATATAAACCTCAAGATATAAAAAAATTGCATTTTTTCAAAAAATTATATCAACAAAAGGAAGAAGAAAAGGCAAAAATTAAAGAATACTTAGAAAGGAATTATAAACAAAAATTTAATGAGGAGCAAAGACATATTCTAAATGGGCGAGTTACAATTTGTGAACTAACTGAAGCACTCAAGAAGCAAAAAACCAAAAAGTCGCCAGGTCCAAATGGTCTAACAGCAGAAGTCTTCAAAGTTTTTGAAGAACCGACAATATATATATTAAAAGAAGTGATACAAAACATAGAAGAACAAGGGAAGCTACCTGCTACATGGAACCAAGTGATAATAACTTTAATATCGAAGCCCAATACAGAGAAGAACCAAATAAAAAATTATAGACCTATATCCCTATTGAATGTGGATTATAAAATATTTGCGAACATGTTAGAAACAAGACTTAAAAAAATATTAAATCAAACCATACATCACGACCAAGCGGGATTCCTTCCGAAAAGGTTAATGAAGAACAATATAAGAACTGTCATTAATACGCTGGAATATTATGAGAACCATCCAGGAAAACAAGCAGTTTTAATGTTTCTAGACGCGGAAAAGGCATTTGATAACATTTCATGGACATTCTTATTACAAAAGCTGGAAATGTCTGATTGTGGAAAAAAGTTTGAGGCAATGATCAGTGCAATATATAAGAAACAACATGCCCAGATAACTATAAATGGTGAATTAACACGAGAAATAGAGATCCAAAAAGGGACAAGGCAGAGCTGCCCACTTTCACCGTTACTGTTTATCTTTGCTTTAAAAACATTGATTCCGTGCGACAAAATGAAAAAATACAAGGTTTGAAGGTAAAAGGAGAAGAGTATAAACTGCGGGCTTTTGCAGACGACCTTAGAAAACCCTAAGGAATCGATTAAAGAACTACTGGAGGTAATTCAAGAATATGGATTGGTGGCAGGCCTAAAAATCAACTCAACTAAAACCAAACTACTGACTAAAAATTGTGATTTAAGTACCAAACAAGAATTACAAAATCTCACAGAAATGGAAATAGCAAAAAAGGTTAGATATTTAGGTATTATAATTTCAAATCGAAATAGTACACTAATGAAAGACAATTATACGAAATTATTGGAAGAGATAAAGAAGGATTTAACAAACTGGAAAGATCTACATATCTCCATGTCAGGAAGAATAGCAACAATAAAAATGAACATCCTACCCAGATTTCTATTTCTAGCGCAAAATATTCCAATAATAAAAAACCCGCAATACTTTGCAGAATTGGACAAATTAACAAGGAAATTCATATGGAATGCAAAAAGAGCAAGAATAAAATTAAAGGTGCTGCAAGATAGGAAGGATAGAGGTGGATGTGGTCTACCAAATTGGAAGTTATACTATCAAGCAGCGAGTTTAGGATGGATCAAGGACTGGATAAGCCTGCAAGACGAAAGATGTTTAAAACTAGAAGGGTATGACCTAGCCATGGGCTGGCATGCCTATGTTTGGTACGATAAAGACATATCTCATCAGCATTTTAAAGATCATATTACAAGAGCGGCACTAATCAATGTATGGAAAATAATGAAAGAGAAATTTTACGTAAAGATACCAAAGTGGGTATCACCTTTAGAAGCTTTTGTAAAACCAACACTCTTAACTAGCTATAATAAAGAAACTTATGAGAGACTGTTAGATTTCTCAAATAAATTAAAATCAGAAAAAGAATTAAAATCACAATATAATCTGAAATTATCTTGGTGGGAACAGATACAATTAAAATCAAGGTATCAAAAAGATTTAAAAACAGGCTTTTATGAGGACAAAAATGAGCTAGATAAAATTTGGCTCTCCTCAAATGACAAAATGATCCAGAAATTATATAAAATTTTATTGGAAGAATATAGGAAAGAAGAAATAATGAAGAACAACATAGATACATGGACAAGAGATAGAGGTTATGTAATCCAACCTGAAAATTGGTTAAAGATTTGGAAAATGATCAAAGTTATGAGGGAGACTAGTTTCAAAGAAAATGTGTTCAAAATGTTTCACAGATGGTATTGGCCACCAGAAAGAATAGCAAAATGTTATGCAAATTGCTCCAACATTTGTTGGAAATGCAAAACAAGTGTTGGAACATTCTATCATATGTGGTGGCGATGCGCAAAAATACAGAAGTATTGGACATCTATTCAGAAAATGATACAGGAAATGTATTTAGTGCCAGAAACGTTTTTACTTAATATACTTCCAGAACACATTAGCTTTAATGAAAAATATTTAATAATTTATATATTAACTACAGCTAGGATACAATGGGCGAAATGCGGAAGCAAGATACTACCCCCAAACAAGATGAAGTAATAGAGAAACTTTTGGGAGTAGCTGAAATGGATAAATTGAGTTTAATGCTACAAGGGAAAAGTGAAGAAATTTTTATAAAACGATGGTCGGGAATGTACAAATGGTTAGAAAAGAGATAACTGACTCTAAGATGTATAAATATAAGTAAACAAACGAATATGTACGAAAACCCAATAAATATAATTTTTTTTAAAAAGGAATATCTGGATTTTATTCAGCTGAAGTATGTAATTTCGAAGGAGCTGTTAAATACTAAAAGACCAGGACAGGAGTTGAAAGAGTTGAAGGAATGGGTCTTTAAAATGGATGGTGAAACAGATAGTCAGGTAATCACTCAATCCATATGTTGGCAAACATGCCTAGGTAAGACATCAGACCTGATCTCACCCATCTAGTTGACAGCTATGACAGCCACAGAGGCCAGAACAGACCGGTTCTAGCAGGAGCTGAACAGCTCAGTAACAATGACTCAGCGGTGTGTGCTGATTGGCTGTAGCTTGTATATAAATGTATAGTGTCTGTAAGTTTTTCTCCTCCTCTATGCTTGTATTTTTTCTCCTTCTCCTCTATGCTTGTATTGCGGACTTGTATTGTGAGCTCCAGAAAATATATATATATGTAAATAAACTGTAAATAGTTAAGCACAGGACTGTGTCTGTGTGGCTTGCTTTTGCTAGCACTCAGCTGGCATAACTGCACATTTGGTCTAAGGTCAATTCACAATTCAACACTCTGCGCGACACCATAGTGGCCCCTCTTTTCACATTTCATCTTATATGAGGATTTTAACAACAATGAAGGATGGCCTTTACTAGTTTAAGATTTCAAGCTATGCCCTCAACAATTTGATTGGGCCATTTCTTTTTCTTTATGAATAGTTTTACTAGTTTCAGAAATAGAAATACTAGTTTCAGAAATAGAAATACTAGTTTCAGAAATAGAAATACTAGTTTCAGGAATAGAGATTACAAACCAAGACAAAGAAAGAAAACACATTATGAAACACAATACACAACAATAAACACATATTGGAGCTTATACTCTAGTCTCTGGTTTAGTTTCACATATTATCCTCGAATCTTACACATATGCACCAAAGTCTGTTGAAATATTAACTTGCATGAATATATTATACCAATGTTCCAAGATACTTTTCTATCCACGTATATGTTCCCAACCAGTTATTCTCAAAAGTTTCTTCCATATTCGCTGGAAAAATTCTTCCCACTACATGTTGTTATCTTTGTACATGTGTTTGTTATTATTGTATGTTCTCTAAATTTTTCAGTAAAATGTTAATTACAAAAAAAAGTTTCTTCTTTTTTATCTT